GGGTCTATAGCCATTGCCATCGTCTTGCTGTAACACTGCGCCTATGCCGTACTGGCTAGCATCCGTAGTAATGACAAAAGGCAAGGACGGATCGGCGACCTTAAGGACCGGATACTCTATCAACGCCTGCTTTAGCTTCTTCATGGCAAACGTGCAGTCCTTGTCCCACTTCCAGATTGTCTCTTTTCTCAGCAATCTGCGAAGGGGCGCAGCGATGGTGGAGAACTTCCTCACGAACTTCCTGTAGTAATTCGCTAAGCCCAGGAACGAGCACAACTCTGTCAGCGTACGTGGCGTGGGCCAATCTCTAATCGCTACGATCTTGCTATCTTCTGGCTTAACGTTGTCTCCGTCTAAGACGTGACCTAGATACAAAACTTGGGTCTTCGCCCAATCGCACTTCTTTGCATTGATCTTGAAGTTAGCTTCTCTCAGCTTCTCCAAGACTTGCCTGAGATGACCTTGATGCTCTTCGAGGGTCCGGCTAAACACTAGAATGTCATCTAGATAAACTACAACGAATTTGTCTAACCACGGCCTAAAGAAATCATTCATACACCGCTGAAAAGTTGCTGGCGCATTGGTTAGTCCAAAGGGTATCACTATAAACTCATAATGCCCGTACCTAGTCTGGAAGGCTGTCTTATACTGATCATCTGGGTGTACCTCTATCTGATGATATCCGGACTTTAAGTCTATCTTAGAGAAATACTTAGCCCCCTGCACTCGATCTAAGAGATCGTCGATCCTAGGCAGTGGCTCAACATTCTTTACTGTAATAGCATTCAGACCTCTATAGTCTATGCACATTCTCAGCTCTCCCTCTTTCTTAGGAACAAAGAGAACAGACGCTCCGAAAGGAGACGAACTGGGCCTAATCCAACCCTTCTCGAGGAGCTCGTCTAATTGCTTGCGAAGCTCCTCTAACTCCCGCGGGGACATCCTATACACAGCACCCTTAGGAGTTCTACTGCCAGTCTCTTTCTCGATACGGTGCTGGATGGGCCGCAGCACCGTGCCTGTCGGCGGCTCAGTCAAATCCTTAAACTCGTCCAGCAGCTTGGCAATCGCAAGGTCCATCGGCTTCTCATCCGTAGGCTCAGTGACGGGCCTAACATAGGCAACAAATAACTGTTCCTCTAATTTCTCCTTCTTCACCAATCTGGCGAACGCAGGGGCACTAAGGCAGCAATGTGCCAAGGAATTCTCTACTCCTGACACATGAAACAGGCGGGCAGTCTTAGCCTCGCCTGCAGAACTAGGGAGTCTACACTCGTGCTCCTTCAGATGGAGCGTTGCCCCGGCTGCCTCTCCCCAATCCATTCCCAAGACAATATCAAATGGGAGGCTGTCTTCTACGAGGAGAGTCAGGGAGTGGAGGACCTTCTCCACCTTCCCATCTTTCTCTAGGCGGAAATACGCCTGAACTCCCTCTACATAATCCTCTACAACCATGGTACGATTGTCCGCGAGGATACTAACTATAGGGTCTGTCAGTTTCTGTACCTTAAGTCCCAGCCTCAACTTCTGCAGCGCTTGCTTACTAATATAGCTGCGGTTGGCCCCTGAGTCTACTAGGGCCCCTACTCTACTTCTAAAAATCTCTGCATCTAATAAAATCAGCTGCCCTTTATTCTCCTTCTTCATCTTGGCCCAGGCGGGCCTCCTCTCCTTCAACTCTTCCGCCACGCCTGTGAGGGAGGTGTCTAGCGGAACTCTAACACAAACAGTCTCGGGACAACTGTCTAGACACCGGCCTGCAACCTCTGCCGTAGGCACATGTGGTGTGGGAGTCTCCTGCCGGCTAGCGTTATTTTCCCCACATGGCCTAGTGGTAGGGGCAGTTGCTACCCCTACCGGCGGCTGCCTTTTGGCTCTTGAGCAGTCGTTCGGGTCTCTCGATACTTAGGACAATATTTGATGATATGCCCCGGGTCACCGCAGAAAATGCACTGGCCCCGGTTCAATTGTTGTTGCCATAAAGCCTGGTCCAGACCCAAAGATTCCCACGACCTACCCTGAGGTAGCCCTGGGTGCCATCCTCCTACTCTATAGGGAGACCTGTTCCTAGGACGGTTTTGCGGGGGACCTTGACCCCTACCTCCTGCTTGGCGGTTCCCTCCTCTGCCGCCAACTCCCTGATCGCCCTGGAACCGGCTCCCTGAGGCCCGGCCCCCTTGGCCTTGGCCTCGTCCTCCTTGCGGCCTCCTCCAGCCGCGACAGCAGCGTAAGTCCTCCCCTGGCCCACACTACTGTCCTCCTCCTCGAACCCCCACTCAATCTGGTGGTAGGGGATCTCGTCCACACTACCCTCATCTAAAGTGAGCACAAGGCTATCCTTGGTCTTGACTTGCCCTGAGATAGTGCGGCCCTTCCACTTTTTGCCCTTGTCTAAATCTTTGTGCCAGAAGGTGGAAATCGACGCAGACTTCGCCTCGAATGCGACCACTTCCCTGCTAAGTATATCATAAGTCATAGCAAGGTCCTGACTCTTGTCAAAGAAGTGACCACGCAGTGTTTCGGGCATAGCCCGGTAGAAAAGGTTGACCAACTGGGTTTCCGTGACCTTGTGGTCAGGAACAGCCACCAACTCATCCATTATGCCCTTGAGTGCCCTTGCACTCTTCCATTGCCGCGAGTGTATTGTCTGAAGCCTATCTGAGGCTTTGACACTACGGGCAACATCAGCGAATCGCTCGCGCAGCAGCTTCAAGAATTCAATGAGGGACGTAAACGAGGAGTACACAACTGGATCGTCACTACAGTTGGCAGCACGAACAAGGGATCTCGCGAAATTGGCGGCCTCGTCTCTAAGTGCATGGATCGCAATTAAGACCTGCTGATCCGGGGAGACCTGTTGCAAATGCACATAGGTCTTAACATTGGTCTCCCAATTGTCAAAGTTCTCTTCCCTTTTCCCACTGTAGGAATCAGAGAATTTGACTTTGACTGGCTCCCTGCTAGGACGGGCCTTCTCCTCCTTGGGAGCGGCCACCTTGACGCCTTCGATGGCGCCGACACAAAAACGCTCAGTCTTCTCGAGGCGATGACTCACCTCGGATCCCACAACGCCTACTAGTTCGCGAGCAAAATCCCGTAATCCCGTTCGCATTCAACGCACGGATATCTCATGGCTGCGACTAAACTCATAGTGCTTTTCTTGCATTTTAGCTAACCGGTCAATGCTCTCGGCGATGATCTCCACTTTGCGTTGGAGATCTACTTGCGGAGTCAATTGGGTTGTTAAGGCAGTCCTCACCTCCGCTAGTTCTTGCATTGCTGCATTCGCCGCCTCCACTCTTCTCTTTTTCTCCCTCATCACTGCAAGCTTCCACGCCATCCTTTGTTCATCCTCCATCGCCCGCCGCGTCAGAACATCTTCTTCTGCTTCCCATTTCTTCATGGCGACTTCTTGCTCATCCTTGGGGATGTACATAGCAACCTCTTCCTCCTCACCCAGGGATAAGTTGGCGACCCACTCCGAAATCTTCTTCTCCATCTCATC